CTATACATCTTTCCACATATTTTGTTTCATTATATATTAAAACTTTTTTTTTAACATTTATTTATTTTTGAGAGACAGAATGAGACAGAGCGTGAATGGGAGAGGCGCAGAGAGAGGAAGACATAGAATCTGAAGCAGGCTCCTGGCTCCAAGCTGTCAGCACAGAGCCTGACATGGGGCCTAAACCCACAGACTGCAAAATCATGACCTGAGCCAAAATCTGATGCTTAACCAACTGAGCCACCCAGGCATCTCTCATTATATTTTTTCATTATGCCTATTTGCATATCTTAAATATTTCATAATGAATTTAAAAGAAGATAAAAGTCATCTCGTGCAACCTTTCAGCTGATTCCTCATGGTGTGAGATAACTCCTCGGTAACTGCTTGCTTACATGTAACCTAAGATTTGGTCCAGCGAGGGTAATCTTGGGTTATGAGAGTGACACTTTTCTCAGCCCTACCCATACTGTCCCCCTAGGCTACCAACCTGGCTCCTGCAGACCCCAACGGCAAGGCAGACCCTTACGTGGTGGTGAGTGCTGGCCGGGAGCGGCAGGACACCAAGGAGCGCTACATCCCCAAGCAGCTGAACCCCATCTTTGGGGAGTGAGGCTGGGCCCTGGGCTTGGGAATGGGAGCACCTTTACCATCTGACCCTGTGGCCCAAAGCATCCCATTCAGGCAGCTGGTGTGGTGATGGTGAGGGAATGGACAGAGGCTGCTGAGCCCCCTGAAATCCCTTCCCCCCAAAAAGACCATCTCCTGGGGCGTGGAGGTGTCCTCAGCCATTCTTCCTCTTGGCCAGGGTCCTGGAGCTCAGCATCTCTCTTCCTGCCGAGCCAGAGCTGACTGTGGCTGTGTTTGATCATGACCTCGTGGGTTCTGATGACCTCATCGGGGAGACCCACATTGATCTGGAAAACCGATTCTATAGCCACCACAGGGCGAACTGTGGGCTGGCCTCCCAGTATGACGTGTGAGTCCTACAGACCCTAAGGAGCCATTCTGAGTCTGACCAAAGACATTCAAGGTCACATTCTCATTGATGTCCCCAGATCCTTTGATTTCATAGAAGGGGACCTCCCTATGATCAGGACCTTATAGCATAGTGGTCAATACCTGGGCTTGGGATTTGGGATCCTAGAATAAGTCACTTGATCTCTCTGAGCCTCAGTTTCCTCATGTGAAAAATGGAAGTAATATCAGTTATCTCCTCCATTGGAGTGTGGGCAATACATCTTTGATTTTCTTGGTTACCATAAGTGAGGACTAATCTGTCTTGCACTGGAGTTATGAACCCGGATCACCACGTCTTCAAGGGTCCCCATCCCTGCTGCTGTGCCCACTTGTGTCCATATGCTGATTCCAACTGAAGCATCTTCCCTTTCTGCCCACAGGGACGGGTACAATGCTTGGCGTGATGCGTTCCGGCCTTCCCAGATCCTGGCTGGGCTGTGCCAACGATGTGGCCTCCCCAGCCCTGAATACCGAGCCGGGGCTGTCAAGGTGGGCAGCAAAGTCTTTCTGACATCGCCTGAGACCTCGCCCTCAGGTACCAGCCCCTCTCTGATGGACAGTCCATAGGGAGCAAGACTGTTAAGGTACAGGGGTTGCCTAGTGCCCACTCTAATGTGTCCCCCAAAAGAACCTGCCTCCTCCTGCAAGCAGAGGAGGTGAGTTTGGCTGAGTAAGGATGAGATTCTTGGATGGTGGGGAGAAAATGGTCTTTGTTGGTGAGCATGATCCCCAAAGAGTCAAAAGTGGACCCCTCAGAGCCATAGCTAATCAAGTTTCCAGAACATACGGTGGCCTACCCAGGGATTCCAAATGACAAAACATAGCTGCAGAATTGAGCTCATGCCTCATAAATGGCTGGTGGTCTTTCTCTAAACAGAGTCTATGCAAAGCCATAGCCCCTTGAATCCCACTGTCCTTCCACTTCTGGCTTTTCACTGGCGAAAGTTGTTAGAGAAGCATCTCCCCACTTTCTGTGCCTTATGGACTTGACCTCCTGGCCCATGGGCTTTGTCCAGTACAGCAGCTGCCTCAACTTTGCATTTCTGTTGAGGGTGGGGGAGGAAGGTGGAAGAATCTGGACCTGTGTGGGACCTAAGCTCATACACCTCTTCTTGCAGGTAGGGAGGGCCCCAAAGTGGCAAGTGAGGTCCCCGAGGAGGTACAGGCATTGCTGGTGCTGCGGCGTTGGCAAGAGATGCCAGAGCTTGGGATCCAGCTGGTGCCTGAGCATGTAGAAACTCGGCCCCTCTATCATCCCCGCAGCCCAGGGCTGCTGCAGGTGAGAAGCACCCAACCCCAGAACCCTGGGGTTCCCACCATCCCAGGACTCCCACCTGCTCCTGGGCCCTCAGGATGCACTTTCCCCAGGACCTCTAACTGGGCACTGCACTGCCACTTCTGATTCTGGCTCCTGATTCTGGTCCCCAGCATCCCTACTCATCTTAGACCCCCATCCTGGACTCCATTCCTCCACCGTGGCTTTGGTCCTGCAGGATCCCCACCCTTGGCCACCAAGGCTCAGACCTGGCATTCCCAATATGACCTCAACTCCAGGTCCCTAGGCTCTGGACTTTGGGAACACCAGATCTTAACTTTTGATCTCAACCGTCCATTTCCAGGGCCTTATCCTTAACCTAACCTTAGCCCCCGAACTCCCGCTTCAGACCCCACCTTCATCCTCATCCCCCAGGATCTGCCTGACTGTGCCCTCCTGACCCTAGCTCCTCTCCCCCTGGGGCAAGGCACAGCCTCTGGCCACAAGCCTATCACGGGACATGGGGACCTCAGGGAGCCCCTTCAGCCTGGTCCTGTGTTCCCAGGGATCCCTTCACATGTGGATTGACATCTTCCCCCGAGATGTGCCTGCCCCACCCCCAGTTGACATCAAGCCTCGGCAGCCAATCAGGTGAGAGTTCTGGCCGCGCCTCCCCTGGGGTAGGCACCTTTGGACTGCCAGTACAGGGCCCTCTGAAAATCTGGGCTTCAGTGAAGCAGCCAGAGGCTCCTTAGCCAGCCTTTTCAGTTAGGTGGGCCATTAAGTTCCCTTCCTTTTCATAAGCCATGGCAGTTGGGTGTCTGCCCCCTTACGAGTGGAGCTGGTCTGAGTGGAGTTCTGCATAGGCTCTATGTACTTCAGATGTTGTCAGCAATCTACACTTCCCACCTGGAGGCTCCGCTTCCCTTGGTGTCACTCTCAAGGAAGCTTCTGTGGTGTGAGGGCAAGGTGGCTGCTAACGGTACCGGGCTTACATCTTACCAACAGGACTACTTGAGCAGAAAAACAAACACCTGTTTGCCAGTAAGAGCAGGTCTCAGGGCTGACTCTCATTGGATATCAACCTTTGTGATTAGGGGGCTGTAATCTGCTGATTGGTAGCCCTGGGTGATATCCCAGGTGACGTACCCACCTCTGGAGCCAGGTAGAGGTGGATCTTCCCCACCAGAATCACATGGATTGACAGCATAGAGGTGAGGGTGGGGGTGCTCACCAACAGAAAATCATGGTGCCGTCAGCAGATGAGAAGTTGATGCTGGGCAAGAGAAAACAACAGCTACCCAGGAAAATCCATGGCTACCTGGTTGGATCAGGAAAGCTGCAGCCCCTTCTTCTGCCGCTCAGGGGCTGCATGCTCTCATCCCCGCTAGGTAGCTCTCCCTCTCCCACTTGTTGCTGCAGACTGGCTTTCTCTCCTCTGTGCCCTGAAACTTCAGCTTGCCACGTCACGCTGACTAGTGGTGGCTCCAACTCTGCATTTGATGTTACTCAAGCTTTCATTCTCCTGATTCCAAATTTATGGGAGAAACTTGTTGGCCCAGCTTTGGTCAAGAGACCATTCCCGGTGCCATCTGCTATGGTAGGGGTGGTCAGTGATAGCTGGGACTGCCCCGTATCACAGATGTCCTGACCACACAACTGGGCACATGGAGGTGCTCGAGGAAGGTCATGGCCACAGCCTAGCTGCTTCCTGCAGTAACTCTCAGGAACCCCCTCAGGAACCCCTCAAGAGTCTGAAAACTCTCTTCTGATACTGCCCCCAGCTATGAGCTCAGAGTCATCATCTGGAACACGGAGGATGTGGTTCTGGATGATGTGAACCCACTCACTGGAGAGATGTCAAGTGACATCTACGTGAAAAGGTGAGCCTGCAGGCTAGGCCGGCCAAATGGCTGAGAACCAAGGTGAGACTGCAGTCAGGGACATGGGCTTTGAGCTGAGCCACAGCCCTGTCTCCTGGGGCCTCTATGGCACCTGGAGCTGGTGAAGGGCCCCCCAGGTTGTCAGGGGTTGGTGAGCTGGGTTCTGGGTTTGGCCCTGGTGCTGAGCCCCCCCCCCGCCCCCCCCCCCCCGCCTGTACCTCTCCCCTGGCTCCAGCTGGGTAAAGGGGCTGGAGCACGACAAACAGGAGACAGACGTTCACTTCAACTCTCTGACTGGGGAGGGGAATTTTAACTGGCGCTTCGTGTTCCGCTTTGACTACTTGCCCACGGAACGGGAGGTGAGCGTCCGGCGCCGGCCTGGACCCTTCGCCCTGGAGGAGGCCGAGTTCCGGCAACCGGCCGTGCTTGTCCTGCAGGTCTGGGACTATGACCGCATCTCTGCCAACGACTTCCTTGGTAGGGCTTTGCCTCCTTCCTACCTCAACCTCTAGCCCTACTTTCTGCCCTCATTGCCAGTGCCCCCTGGCCCTTAGTTCCTTACTCTAACCCAATCCTGAGTCCTGGGTTTCAGACCCTAGGTCACTAACCTTTACTTTCTGGCCTTATTACTGAACACAGTAATGACCTTCATTCCCACCCAAAGTCCTTGACTCAGTCTTCTGACTCAGGTCACTTTGGACTCCGACACCATGGTCCCCACTTTGGCAGTCTGGTCGTTTCACCAGGGTCTGACAAACTGCTGATGTGTGGTTGTGCTCGTGTGGCCTGCAGCTGCGGCGGGACCACCACGTCCTAGTTCCTGATGCTGTGAGGCACAGTCCTGCTGTGCTCCCCGCCCCCACCCCAGGCCCAGACAAACCTTGATCTCCTCCCTAACCCGGAGAGCTCTGCACTTGCAGGATCCTTGGAGCTGCAGCTGCCAGACATGGTGCGGGGCGCCCGGGGGCCCGAGCTCTGTTCCGTGCGGCTGGCCCGCGATGGGGCAGGGCCGAGGTGCAACCTGTTTCGCTGCCGCCGCCTGCGGGGCTGGTGGCCCGTAGTGAAGCTATGGGAGGCAGAGGATGAGGAACGGGAGCAGCGGGAGGCACGAGCTGGCAAGAAGAGGCAGAGGAAGAGAAGAAAGGGCCGCCCGGAAGACCTAGCGTTCACAGACGCTGGAGGCAGCGTCCATATCCTTACGGTGGGTGCAGGGGTGCGGCCGGGGCAGGACCTGGGCAGGTGGGGGGATGAGGCCGAGCCTGAGCCCATCTAAGAGCTCGGCCTCTGTTCCCTCCTTTTTCTAGGGGAAGGTGGAGGCAGAGTTTGAGCTGCTGACCGTGGAGGAGGCGGAGAAGCGGCCAGTGGGGAAAGGGCGGAAGGAGCCTGAGCCCTTGGAGAAGCCCAAGTAAGGGGGGGTGGCACAGGAGGCTGGGCCGGAGGGAGGTGGGGTGGCCCAGGGGCTTCTTCTTCATTCTGACACCACCTCTGTCCCCACAGCCGCCCTAAAACCTCCTTCAACTGGTTTGTGAACCCGCTGAAGACCTTTGTTTTCTTCATTTGGCGCCGGTACTGGCGCATCCTGGTGCTACTGCTGCTGCTGGCATTGGTCACCATCTTCCTTCTCCTGGTCTTCTACACCATGCCCGGCCAGATCAGCCAAGTCATCTTCCGCCCCCTCCACCAGCCCCCTGACCCTAATTGACCCTGGACGCTCTTCCCCTACCAACCCCATAATTTCCACTCCTGGGGGTCCTTCTCACCAACACGACTGCTTGAGTTCACTGCTTTCTTTGAATGAACTTGACTGTGCCTCCATTCTGACACCTGAACATGGGCTGTGCATGATAATACAAGGGGCAGGAAACAGAGCTGCCCTTAGGTGGCAGGTGCTGGGGATGGGAGGATGCCACCAGGAAGAATGGGACCTGGCAGGAAGCTCAGGGCCCAGGAGTCCTGGCCTCCAAGCTGTCATGCCTTCTGAGTAGCCCTGCTTCTGACAATGGCAGGATCACTTAGTGACAGCTAAGCACTTCCATACTTCATTAGCTTGTTTATTCTTTAACTCTTGAGAGTAGGCATATTGATTAGGACACTTTTGGTTGAAGTAACAGAAATCCCAACCCTATTGGCTTAAAAAGCGATTTGGGGCGGTGGGGGGGGGGGGCTTGCATAGTTGCAATTCCCAGTGTTTAGCTGGGAGCCTGTCACAGGACTCAAAATAATGTCACTGGGACCAGTTCTCTGCCTCTGAGCTCCAGCTCATTTGCAGATAGGGTTCCCCCTTGAAACTGCAGGATGGCGGCACAAGCCTCGCATCTTCCCACGTTCACACCGAGAAGACACACCCAGACTTTCCTAGTCCTGACGGAGCCTCACCCGGGGTCACTGTGGCCAGGAGGATGGGATGTGCTGATTGAGGGCTCCCCTGAAGCTTAGGGTGGGAAGTCATACCTTCTCCCAAACACACAAGCTGAGAAGGTAGGGAGGTTCCTAGAGGAAATTCGGGATACTATTAACAAGTAGGTTAATACTTGGGTTTCTGGCTGATCAAAAAAACAAGGCTCACTACAGTCAGCAGTATCATGTTTAACTTACAGATGAGACATGTCCAAGGTCATAGAGCTTGCAGGTGAGCACATCAGAGCTGGATCTCAGGTCTGTCTGCCTCTAGAAATTGTGGTATCATCACCCTTTGCTTCCTGTCCTTTCTACTTGTCCCCCTACTATTGTCTTACCCAGACAGTCCCTGAGAATCGATCATATGAACTGACCAGCTGTCAATGTCCCTGCTTTCCTGGGCTGCAGCACGCGGTGAGGTCTTGGGCCTGGTTCTCCACATTTATTGAGGGCTATACTGGGAAGCCCTCATGAGGTCTAGAGCTGGGGTCTGAAGCCAGCCTTGCTCCAGAATGGCTACTGCTGCCTTTCCTCCATTTTTCAGTTCTGCTTCCTGCTAGAAGATGGTACAGGACCTGCCTGGACCCCTCTTAGTGCCAGGAGCCATCAGGGGCATGGCACAGAGCATGGTCAGTGAGGATGAGGGATGCAGGAGACTGAGCCCAGGGTGGCAGGGAGAAGCCTCAGCTTTAGCCATCACTGAAGAGGTGGCAAACCCCAGCCTGCACCCAGGGCCCTAGCACCACTGGGGTCAGACATTCATGAGCCTGAGGACCATGGTGGCCCCATGAAGCTCATCCTAGAAAGGTCCATCTCAGCTCTGGAGCTGAACCCAAAAGGCCCAAAGAGCACAGCAGAGGAGGGACTGAGGACAGGGCAGTGGGGTAGGTATCAGTCTGGTTTGAATAAAGCCCAATTAGCCACGGGATGTCCACGTGGGGCTCCCAGAGGGCTTCTGGCCCGATCTGTCAGTCCTGATTACCTTCAGTAAGTGGCTGTGCAGAGGTTTGTTTCTAGGCTCCAGCCAGATGCAAGAAGCACACGGAGACCAGCAAGTACTATAACAATCCATAGATTTATCAACCTGTGCTGAGACCGATGCTCCAGAGGGTCGGAGGGGTTGGAGGGGAGGCTGCGAAATGACCACAAGGCCAAAGAGAAACGGGAGATGAAGAGAATAGAAAGGGAAGAAGATAGCTACGTTGTCTTCCCAAGATCAATTTTCTTCTGGATGGCTCGAGCCGAGTGGTAGATGAGTGAATCGATGAGTCCAGCCACTGGGGAGAGAGACCAAGGCTGGCACTGGCCCAGTTGGGCCCTTGGCTGGCCCCAGAGCCTTGTCACCTGACTGACTAGGCCAACAAATCCCCTTGACCATCGAGGTGCTCCTCCTTCCCCAACCAAAAATCCGCAGGGAGCCCAGGCTTTACATTCCCCACCATGCCCCAACCCCAAACATGCCCTTGAGCTTCTAACCTGTGAACATGCCTCCAATGATAGCGCACACACCAGTCAGGAAGTGCGTGAAGGACCTGGTGGAGGGACAAGGCAGGGGATCAGCAGGCACCCCTGCTCCCTGCAGGCCCAGGCCTCTCCCTTTCCCCACCCTGACCTGTGCTTCTCCGTCAGTTTCACCATCATGGGCGAGAGCTCATAGAGCACGAAAACTCCAGGAAGTCCCTGGTCACCCATCAGCCCATTGGCGACCTTCTCGTGTCTGGTCACAGAGAACTGATTTGTCCTCAGCACCTGGAACAGGAAGGGAGTTTGGGAAAGGGCTGGCTCTATAACCTGGTTCCCAAAACCCCTCAGCCCTACCCCTGCTCCTGCCCCTTGTCTGTAGTGCCTTGACTGTGGGGAAGAGAAAACGAGGCCCCAGGTCGCTAATGAACACTGGAAGGCCTGGGGACCACCTAGGCATCCCCTCTTGGCCTCACCGGCCCAAGGGCTGCTTGGTTACTAGCTCTTTACAGTTCACCAATCCCAGCTACGTGTGGATTCTCTCAGCGGGGGTTTTGGGATGGGAAGGAACTCTCAAAGGCCGCATCATGAGCTCCTGGCAAGGCTGGGCCAGACTTCCTGTCTGCAAAGGTGTTGCTCCACTGGTGACAGCAGAAAGGGGATCAGGGGACCCTGGAAGGGTTAGCCCCCAGCCCAGGGGAGACCCCAGTGACAATGAGCACCCGAGGAACGGATGGAGGCAGTTTGGACAAGCAGAAAGCGCAAGTGCTTTGAAGTCTGACACTGTGGGCCCTGCACCTTCCCTGCGAGGGTAAATCACCTACCCTCTCTGAGCCTTGGCTTGTCACCAACAGGAACCCTGATACCTGAGCTCCTGCAGACTTACCTCCCCATCTACCTTCATGTACACTGTGGGTACCACCTTCACGAAGTACTGGAACATCATGGAGGCTGAAGGGAGAAGAGAGCACTGGGCATGGGTGCTGGGCAGGGCTCTGGTAGCTAGGGGCTACCTCCCAGGTTGGTACCTTGGGGTGCAGTGACGTTGGTGTGGTCCAGGGGGTTCACAATGCCCGGGTAGTCCTCCCCGAATGACAAGTGTCGGATGTAGTGGGTCATGTTGATCTGCAAGCAACACCAGCACCTAAGCCTCAAGCGCTCAAGGCCCCAACAGGCCTCACCCATCAAAAGTTCCATGGGACAGTGGTGGACAGGGCTGCCTGGGCTTGGGGAGTAGATGTGTGGCGGGACGGGAGGCAGGGCAGGATCTTGCCGGGGAGAATCTGACCAAGACAGGCAGCACCACCATGCCCCACTGGGGAACTCCATTCTCAGAGTCTATGGTCTCTGGGCCTCTACAGTCTGAGACTCTGGCTGCATCCAGACATAAGGCAAGTAAAGACGGGGCATGGACCCACTGTGGCAGATGCCAGATTTGCCTGCAAGTCTTGAGCCAGGGAGGCCTAGGCTGGAGGGGCCCCAGATTTGCCTGCAAGTCTTGAGCCAGGGAGGCCTAGGCTGGAGGGGCCCCAGATTTTCCAACTCCGACTCTTGTCCTGTTCCAGTCTTTATCAACCCCAGCTATTAGAGGGATCTTTAAAAACATGCAAACTTGATTACATCATGACCCTGGTTAAAGGACCAAGGAGACTCTCAGGAGGAAGTCCAGACTGCAGCTCTGCCTGAGGCCTGTGCAGTCTGGTCCCCGCCAACCTCTCCAGCCATGCTGGCCCCTACAGTTTCTGAGAAGTGCCCGCTCCCTCCGAACTTTGCTGGAGGCTCCCTCTGCCCAGGATGTTCCTGTCCAGCCTCATCTCCCATCTCCCACCTGTGCAGATCTCAGTTCTTGACCCTCAGACTGATCCCCTGGCCGAATATGGTTTATTTTTATCTGTGCCCCCATCCCAGCACATCCCTGTGGAGAAATGAAGGCAGCAACCATCCACCCCCATCTGCCTTACACGGTTTCCGGTACTTACATTGTCAAGGCCGAAGCTCTGCAAGTCATGGACTAGGAGAGAAGGGAGAAGGTGTCACCAGGTGGAGCAGGACTGGCCTCCTGGCTCCCTTAGCGTCCTGGCTCAGGCATCCTCACCCAGCCTTCTGGAGTGCGACCGCCTGGCTCCTCTTTGACCCTTCATCACCCTCAGCCTGGCCCTGCTGAAGCCTGTGTGTGAGTCCACATCCTCCCGGGCCTTAAAAACAGACCCCATTTCTTCCCTGACATACACAGGGAGCCCTTTACGGGCATCACACCAGGTTTTCATTCCCACCAAGTCCCTCCTTGCACTTCAGGAAATAAACCCCACTGACTACCTCTCACTAAACAGAGCTGATGGACAACTGCTGAACCCCAAGGTGAGGCGGGGCCAGAGAATGCCATCCAAGCACTTTCCCCGCCCCTCTGCCCTTACCCTGACAGCCCCCAAAGGAAATGCCATGGGTACCCTGTGCCATCTATTCCAGAACAGTGCTTTCTCCCCTCTGGCCCTGATCCCTCCTGCTTCAAGGAACCCTACCTGAAAAATAAGACCCCGATTCCAGGCCCATCCAAACCTCCCCCCTTCCTGGGAGGGTAGGCTGCCCCAGAAGTGGGGCTTGGCCTCCCTGGGGGGCAGGGCCACTTACTCTCCACAGCATGTACTGCAGCATGGGGGAGGGAAGGAAGAGAGAAGGGAGGAAGAGAAAAAAGATTGAGAGCTTCACAATGAGAACTATGGAGCAAGATACGTGGTAGAAAGGAAGACTGGAATATTCCTGCCTTGGCAGCAGGATCCAGACCCAGCTAATAAGCCGCCTCCTGTACCTGTCCCCAGAGGAACTCTTCCCCAGCCAGGGAAAAATACAAGGGGTCTTGGGGGCAGAAGTATGATTGCCTAGGGAGAACAAAAGACCTAGAGCCCAACAAGCCACTTTCCTAG